TGGCTCCGTTTTAATTAAAGCCGTTTAGTAATTTGTTGGCATATATAATTAGAGCGTTTAAAGATACGCAAAAAATGTAGAGGTATAGTCAGGGATTTAATCGTTATCGATGAAGTATTCTATATAGAGCAAAGAGAGCAAAATTGAATTAACGCTGATTGACGTTGATACAATCGGCGCTCAGCGTGGCTGCCACGTTTCAAGACTTCCAAGACTCTTCAATTATTATTGATTCGTCGGCGTGACGTACTCGCGAAAAGACCCGAGAGACGAGGAATCTCTTCGGTTATAATAGATTTGACAAAAAAAAAAAAAAGGAAAAGAAAAAGAAAAAACGAGGGATGCGACACGTGCCCGAGCAACATCGGGGCCCGAGTCGTTGGCCTGTCGAAGAGCAGCGCGCGAAGAGCAGTGCGACGGGCCACGGGTAAACCAGCAATCATACGGTGGTCCAATTACCATAAGAAGGGCTCTAATTTCACACAATGCCCCTTTTTTCTCCCCAGGGCGGGCCACGGCTGGTCGCGATCGGACGGGTTGCACGTGGTCGAGAAAGGTCGCTCGAGAGCCTCGATCGACTTTCACGATTTCTCAATAAGTTTCTCAATGGCTTCGAAGGGACGAGGCCTTTCCCTCCGTCCGTTTGCTCCGTGTCTCCTGTATGACAAAAATTTGATACGGACGCGCGGGAAGATGAGACCGTGGAGGACCCCCGGCGTAACGGCGATCAGCTTTTCATTAGGTGCGCGGGATCACGCGTGTACCCTATTCGCATCTTCTGCCGTGTACCTTTAGGAAAATGAAACGGCACCTTTCAGCGAGAAATGTCCGTTCATCGTAATCGCGTACTCGCGGACACTTCTGACAATAGCGTTACACTCTATGCTAATCTTTTTGAGGCAGGCAGCTTTAATTCGTTAACATAAGATACAATAGATGATGAATTGAAAAGTAGGTCCGTATGATGGGTTACCTACTGACGATACTGATAATCGCAAAAAGTTTTTTATTTATAATTCTCTAGTTAGATACTCAGTGATAATTATAAGCACGATATTCATTCGCATATATTTATTTTTTTATATTATTTTTTAACGCGAACAAATTATTATGTTTTAATCTTAATATTTTCATGGATTCCAGATATTTTATGTACTTTTGGCTTTGGCTAAATTACGAATTGAATATGCAGAGAAACTGTGCTTGATTACCCCGTCAGTCTTCTCGAAGAACGCATTCGTTGACGAGAAAAATGTCCAGCGTCGGGTGAGGAATAAATACGAGCTTAAAAGCGAGAGAAGGAGCATAATAGCGACGCGCGTAAAAGCATTTAGCTCGCGCTCCGAGAGAAGTGCGAGAAAAAAAGGGAGAGGCGGGAAAAGGAGGACAGAGGTTAGCGAGGGTCGCGTTGCGAGAAAGGGAAGCTGGGTTAGAGTCGGCAAGGTGGCGCATTTAACGCGATGGAGTAGGGTGGACGATTAAAATTTCAATTCGTTTTCCATGCGAACTGACTCAGCCTTTCTATTCGTCCTTCTTCAACGCCGCCCGTGTTCTTCTCATTCCGCGGACTTTCGGCCGCGCCGCCAAATGACAGCTCCGACGTCGCGGAGGAGAACCACTTTGTTATAATTTCCTTTAATGATGCCCCCGGTGGTCGACCCTCATCCCCCTTTGCTGAGAAGAGCTCGCGGAATATTTTTATTACTCTACCACGATTTCTGGTGGTTCGCGACCAGACGGGCCTCCGTGTCCTTTCGCGAGATTGGGGCTTACGAAGCCTTCTGTCACGCGTAAAAAATTACAAAGAAAATTTTTTTCTCTAGATATTTTATTCTGCTCGCGATATCTTAATTAATATCAAAGATCGCATTATAACATTGTTATAAATGCAATCTGTTATTAATAATCTGTTTGCAATTATAATTATTTTTTTTTGCAAAAATGTGAAAGATGAAATTGGTATAAATGAGTATTATTATTATTATTATTATAAATATATATCATAACATCCTAATTATTTACAAATTATTATTTTAGAGATTCTCCTCATTCTCTCTCATTCTCTCTGTAACTTTTCTTAAAAAATTTAATGTTAGATGCCAGCTGTAACTTATGACTTTTCGATATAGAATATCGATATAGAATAGTTTGTTAAACAATCCTACAATCTTACATTTTAAAAAGTGATAAATCAGCCGATAAATTTAAACGAATTTACAATCGTTGAAAGAATTCAAATTTTCAATTTTTTTATTTAGAAAATGAAAAAAACTTTTGTTATACAACTTATGCTCTTCGATGTATGCCACACATTCGTAAATTTGCGAGCGAAAAAACAGCAACTGCTGTTTTTCGCATACACAAGAGAAATGTTCAGAAAAAACAATTCTACGTGACGAAATGAGCGGAAAAGAAAGAAAGACACCATATGCGGAAGAACGAAGGTAAGGGATAAAAATGCACGTCGTCGCACGTGTTACGATGAGTCCCACGCCATAGGACTTTGTGACACGAAGGATCGCGGGGGTTTGGAGGTTGGGATGGGATTTCCTTAATAAAATGGGGCGCAAACGCCACGCCAGCGAATATCTAGCTGATAGTGGTTCGGTCAGCTCGGTGTCCACTTCGAAAATGCCGAGTAGGAGGCTAAGGAGTGGCGCAAGCGGGGAGCTGGATCCGGAGCGGAATCCGCAAAAGGGTGGCTGCTGCTTAGGCTGATTCAATCTACCGTCACCCTCCCGCTAGCTGATAGCCTTTTCGCCTATTTCGACGCGTTGATGTGAATGGAAATCATCAAACAAAAAAAAAAAAGAAAAAATCTTAGATGATTTGATTAAGGGCGATATTCATAATCAGTTCTTATATTTAAGATCGTCTTAAGATATATAATCTTCAACCAATAAGATAACCGTATAAGTTTACTTAAGACGATCTTAAATATAAGAAAACGGATTATGAATACTGGCCTAAGATTGAAAAATATAAGAATCTTTCACTCTTTCTGCAAAGAGTTATTAAGAAAAGAATTTTAAAGTATTACAGAATTATTTAATTCTATTTTAATTACGTTTTAATTTTGTTTTAATTTCGAGATTTTTAATTCACTTGATAAAGACGCTTAAAGAAATAATATTAAAATATTGAAGAAAGTTTTACAATACAAAAATTTACTATTAAGTCATTATTAATTTTATTAAAAAAAAGTTAACAAAATATATTGCTAACAACTAAAATAATAGTGAGAAGAACTTTAGTTAGTTGTTTATTGCGAAATTCTTGCGACCTCAGCTGATTGTAGGTATATGATGTACATTTAAAATGAAAGGGTTAATCCCGCTACCTGATCTTAATACCGAACCGTTTAAAGATTCAGTCCGGTCACACTCTTTCATCTTGACACCACGTGCCATGCATCACCCACACACGGAACAAAGTCCTCTCCCCTGCATCAGATGACTGCTGTGCAATGTAATAAACATATTCATAGTTGAAGTAAAGGGTTAGGTGCGTGCGATGGTGGATACGGGTCGGGCAGAGACAGAGGGTGAGAGGCGGGGATAGAAGAACTTGTCGCATTCCGTATGCAAAGTGCAGCGGGCCGCGTTCGCGCGTGGAAAAAAAAGGTATCATAAAAAAATGCAAGGTTACCCACATCTTTTTTTTTTTTTATTTGGCCGAACTGCTCTACGAGGGGAGTCAGATGAGAGGAGCGCGGAGTGGAAGAAGGAAGACAGAGGACGAAAGGGGGAGGCACGGGGGCGGAGAACGAGAAAAAGAGTTTAGTTATCACCGGATAATACCCTCGCACTTTTTACATAGCATCTACGAGGAAGGGGCTCGTGGCTTGGACTAATAAAAAATTAGGCAAACCGTCGAGAGTTACGTTTATTGCTTGGTGGAATTAGGTGATCTTCTTCGAGTTCTGTTCAAAAGGATTTTTTGGCGGAGAAGCGTGGAGCCGTGGACCGGTTCGCGCAATGATCTCTAACACACTAGCAAGATTACATTCATTACTTTATTTGAGTCCCTTTATATATAAAAGTATTCTCGAAGCAAAATAATAAAAACTGATTAAAATAAATAATTTCTCGATAACTTGAAATTAGCAAAAATTCTTGACAATTAATTTTCAAGGATTTAGACAGTAAATAATGATGCCATTATTTTAATTGTTATATGAAAAAATTTAATTTACACATAAATATTTCGCAAAAAGTGTTAAATGTTTATGAAATTTAAACAAAATATATTGCTTCAAAAACTTGGCACGCGTCAAATTTGGAAGATCCTAATCGGGAATCTCGAAAGAATCTCTATAAAGTTGGTGAATAGAAGAAAACGAGAACGAGATAGCCGGCCGGTACGCGAGCGTGCAAACGAACAAGGATTCTCGTGCCATGCGCACGTCTATCCGTCGTGTTCTCTCTCCAAAGACGCGTCGTCAAGAAGAGGGAGGAAAGACGTGGTGGCGGGCGTCGTAATTGAAAGAGGACACATCCAAGCTTGAAGAAGATGGAACTAAACGGAGAGAGAGAGAGAGAGAGAGAGAGAGAGAGAGAGAGAGAGAGAGAAGAGAGAGAGAGGAGAGAGAGAGAGAGAGAGAAAGAGAGAGGTAAAACGCGCAGCATCTCCTATAGGATTCGTCGCTCACCAAGAGTGAGCGAGGAGAACGAGTAAAGCGGAGGAAGAGAATGGCCAAACACTCGTTGGAAGGAACGAAGAGGGAGGACGAAAGCTAGGGGAGGTAAGGTGTTCTCAAATTTGGTTGGCTGTCGCTTTCCACCGTTCTGTCGTGCGTGCCTATCCCTCTTCAGGCGAGAATCGGAGAAGATCGACTGTAGTCGAAGGTGGTGGGGAGGGTGGTTGGTGCGCCGCGGAGGGACAGGAGTAAGCAAGGAAAGGAGAAAAAGATAGAGGGACAGGCTCGTGTTTCGGCCAAGTGTTTGGATGCGAGACAGGAGGGAGAAGTTTAAACGCGAGAGGAAGAAAGAGAAGGAAAGAGGGAAAGAGATAAAAGTATAATGGTGGAAGCAAGACGAGAGAGTTCTTCCGAAGGAAGCGTGACGGAACGATGGAGTCTTCAGGAGAGAAAGAGAAAGTTTTAACGTTAGAGGAAGAGAGCCACGTTTCGTCGGTGTGTTGGACGAGAAGGGAGAAAGACGTTCGAGACAAGGACGGAGTGAGAGGAAGAGAGACGATTACAGGGTTCGAGGGGGAAACGCACACAAGTCCAAGAGAGAAAGGCAGAATCCGAAGAGTCGGCAAGTGACGACGAAGAGGGGGTGGCGAGTATTGGCGAAGGAAGCACAGTGTGGGGCGGAACACGGCAAAGGAGGGGTGAGGGGGAGGAGAAACGGTACCTTGGCGCGCGAGCCCGAAACTACAGAATTTCAAGCAGACTAGTGCCGGCGTTCGTACGACACGGTTCTACAGTAATACAGTGAACGAATGTAAATCCAAGGAAAGTGAGAGAAAGGAAACAACAACAGAGAGAGAGAGAGAGAGAGAGAAAGAGAAAGAGGGGGAGAATCAACGGAGGGGGTGGCATAAAGTTGAGGTGGTTGCGTCTCACTGTATTCGCGGCTTCAATTCTGTCGTTCTCGCAGTATCGGGATACGTGACGTTAAGTGATCACTTCTGAGAGACGCCTACGCTTAATTGCCTGCGCGAGCAGATACTCGGAGTACTAAACTGACTGACTGATATACGAAGAAATAGACTGTTGTATTAAATGTAATAAACAAAGTGCAAAGTGGACACGCCGTTCGTGACAGTCGTTGGAATTTTCAAAATAAAAACTTCAAAGCGCGTTTCCATCCGAAATTCTTCGGAGAGATTGCGTGAGATCGCTTCGTCGTGAGTGACATTGCGTTAAAGGAATGCAGATACGAAAATCGTCGGTGTTGCTATTTAACATGTAAATCATGAGCGGTACATGTGCCCGCTGTTTTGTTTTGTTGTGAGTTAACCGACATTGTTTGAAATCTCTCTTATTAGAAACTGCGTATACTTAACGTAACGCGACAGTAGCCAGCAAGTGGAACTATCCCGCTGCCGTCGTTGCCGTCGTTGTCGATACGTCGTCAAGCCGACGATGCTGCACACGGTGATCGCGATTTTTCGAGTGACATTCAGTTGGATGTTCGTGTCTGAAATCGGTGCGGTCATATGATAAATGTAGAACACGCTGTATCCCCGGTTTCTTTTTATTTTCTCCTTCTCTCTTTTTTTGTTTGATCCCTTCCTCACCCTCCCCCCGCCTACCGCTACCGGCTCAGCTGTCAGCTAAGTCACAAGGCGCATTGTTTCGTCCCCACCGAGACTGAACCCGCACACACACACGTGATCGATTCTACGGTGCCATTTCGCGCTACTACTGATGCCCACATGATATCTCGTGTGATTTTAACGCGTCACGGGACAAGAGGCGGCGAAGTGAAACAGCTGGAAGTACAGAAAGTAAGAAGAAAAGAGAAACAAGGAGAAAATCACTTCGCTGTAGTGCGCGCGCGCTCACGGGCGCATGGCGGGCGCCCGTGTCGTCCGGTCGTTCGATTCGTGTTGTGTATAAGCTACTGTTCGATTGCGTGAATCTCACGTACGATTAAATGACGGTTAAAGCGCGTGACTAGACAGCTGAGACGGAGAAAGAGAGAGAGGACAATATGAGTGAGATGACGAGTGGCGCCGAGTCGCAGAAGCAACAGCAACAATACGTTGGCGGTAGTTCGAACGCGGAGCATCACTGCAAGGACTGCGGTCTTAACTTTGAAAGTGAGAAGAGCCTTGAAGTTCATTTGCACTATCATCACGAGAATTTATTGAATCGATGGGGTAATAAGGCACCGCAAGAGGAGAGCAATAATAATCATAGTAAGACTGGTAACCATAATAGCCACGTGAACGTCAACCGGGAAAACGTGACAATACCAGCAGACTCGAGTGAACCATCATCGATGTCGCCCTCTCAGGATCTAACATCCTCGCAACAACAACAACAACAGCAGCAACAACCACAACAGCAATCTCAGGAACAATCTGCCTCACATACACTTGTATGTCAGCCATATGATCAGTTTCAACCAATGTATGGTCAAAACGACTACTTCATGCCTCAAAACAATCAAACTTTTATGATAGCCCATCATTTTTCGCCATCGCAAGAAGACGGTCAAAGCAACGATACTCGCGATAGTAATTATACGCGTTACCATCCATATCAGCATCAGATTTTTTCCGCGGATCGTGCAACTTCGAATTCTACCAGCCCGCAAAGCCCACCTTTTGTATGTGAAAAATGCGGCGCTGTTTACGATGATGGGAATCAATTCGCTGACCACATGAGAAGAATCCACTTAGATTCGCCTGCATATCCATCCGCGCCTCAGTATCAGCAACTGGGCAATAGTCCTCAGCAACAGAGTCAGCAACAATTGCATTCATCGCCACCTCTTTCAAATCAACCTCAACAACAATCTAGCTACGATTATAACGGTGTACAAATGATTAAATCTGAGATTAAAGAACAGCCAGAGGAACAAGCTGAGATCCTGGACTTGGATTCTCATAAGGTGCAAACACATAGATACGAGGAGGAGATCATGAGACATCAGCAACAAGGACTTCATATACAGATGCATCATCAACAGATGCTGCAGCAGCAGCCACCACCGAGAATAGGATCGGTGAGTACTCTAAATTGGCCAATCATTTCAACAACAGATTATCCCTCTGGACTCCCACCAATGGGTCCCAATGTTTCAACGATCGCTGATCAGGAACAGTACATGCGTGGTCAACACATAGCCGAGCATGCACATCAGGGCTCATCGATAATCACGAGTGCACAACCAATGTCTAGTCATCAAATGACAACTGGGTACGTACAGCAACCGTCAAAAACGCCATTGGCGAATCAATCCTGGAAAAGCAACGAGCCGCGTCGTCCAAAGACTTACAATTGCACCGCGTGCAACAAGTGGTTTACAAGTTCAGGACATCTAAAGAGGCACTATAATACGACGCTGCACAAAAACGCTGTCAAGAATGGAAAAGAACCTGATCCGGCAACTTTGCCAATTACTGCTCATCATCATCCCGCTAGAGAAAATAATGCTGGTCCAAGCGGCAGAGGTGGCGGCGGCGCTCCAGCGCGATCTCCAACAGACTTATCATCTTCACGGAGTCCCCCAAACTCGATGGCAGGTCCCTTGGGCGAGGCGACGAGGGGCCTGCTTCCCACGCCCACCACGCTCTGCAACAATTCCAGCAACAACGACTCTTTAACAATGGCCCTGGTACAGCGGCAACAGCAGCAGCAGCAGCAGCAGCAGCAGCAGCAGCAGCAGCAGCTGGTCCACCTGTCGGGAATAATGCCGCTCAATTCCCCGCCGGTATCATCGCCGCTGGGACATCATCAGCAACAAATGGGTACTGCGCCTCACCAACTGGGCCTCCAACAGCAACAGCAGCCTCACCTGCCAACGGTTTCACCGGGCCAGCCGGTGCACCATTCCACGACTTCACCCATGGCCCCACCGGCGGCCATGAATTGCCATTCGCCAATGGGTTCGTCATCCCACCCAGTTCATCATATGAATTCGCCGCCCGGCTCGGTCCATCCGGCAATGACTTCGCCCACAGCGATGGGGGGTACTACGATGCCTCATCAGCCGTACCCAAACGCCATGCCCCCCCACGTTACAATTATTACCAGCACCCCGGTGGCCCCACTGGAGTCTACCCAAGTAATTACCACCATGCAGCTAGTTACTACTGGTAATGAACAAAGTGAGCAACAGCAGACTTTGCCCGCTTTTTCAACTTTTGAGCAAAAAACCCAACCGAGTTATTCGGAACTCGGTATGAATGGGTTTGACGAGGGTCACCAAATAGTTATAGAGCCCATGGACGTGGGGGGGCTAAGTGCGGAGGAAGTTACTCCTCAAAATTCTTTTGAATCTCCAACATCAAACTACGATCCATTTTCACCATCACGTTATAAATTGTCAACCACAAATGAGAGCAACGTGATGCAAGATCCGAATATACAAATTACATTCTGCGCTTTGGAATTGGGACAAGCGATTGATGTCGTAAATAATAATCATCTGCATCAGGAACAGGCGAAGGAAGATTTGGATCCAAACATCATTGTACAGCCAAAGAAAACGCGTAAGACTAAAGCAACCAAGCAACGTCAGATCACTACCACCAGTGCTAATATTATCTCGAAGGATGGTTTCCATAAATGCCTTGATTGCGATAAATTTTTCAATAAGGCCTGCTACTTAACACAGCACGTCAAGAGTTTCCATTCGGGTGATAAGCCATATAAATGCTCCCAATGCGGAAAACGATTTCCAGATACGGAAATGCACGGAAGACACGTGGAAATGCATGCAATGGCGAGAAAGCACAAGTGCCATGTATGTCCGAAGGTATTTGCTCATAAAACTGATCTCAAGCGGCATATTTGCATCCACACCGGTAAAAGACCGTTCAAATGTGACGTATGTAACAAGGGATTCATCAGGCAGGATCACATGAAAAAACATCAGGATACGCACAACAAAAAAATGCGAGGAAACTCTCAACGTCAGCCTGCCGGCTCACGAATCAACACTACTATACAAGCCACCACTCAACAACCCACTACTACTATAGAAGAAGAAATTGATTGTTTAAGACGCAATTTCCCTTTAATAAAGGTATGAAGACATGCTCTTGGAATGTTTATAATCAATTAGGTTACTCAATACGATTTCGAAATTATTGATGATAGAACGCGAAATAAGATTCTCTACCGATCATCGGAAATCGTCTCTATTCGCAATAGTTTCACAAAATTTCTGTTTTTTTCCGTTATTTTTTAATCTAAAATTTAAAACTCAGCTTGTATAATAATCGTTAATTTAATTAATGATTAACAAAATTAATTAATTTTGCACTTATAGTTTTCATAATTGGAAAACATGATGATAATTTTATTAAGATATATAAAATTTTATGTATGATGATTACTCGGAAATGATTTTCTTATGTACATATTTTATTTCTACGAGAATAACACCTTCCTTTCTCTCTCGGAACAATTCTGAGCTGATAAGTGCTGAGATACTTAAATAATTTGAATTGAAATAGCTCAACATTCTAACAGATTTTATTTGAAAATAATTTGATGAAAAGATTGACACATAATGAAATTTTTAGTAAATCAATAGTATTTCTTATACATATAATATAAAAAACAAAATTATATCTGCAACATTTTCACGATTATGATCAAAATTATTATAATATTTGTAGGCGATCTCGATGAAATGACGTGAGAGCTTTTTCTATCAATTTTATGACATCAATTGCATAATTGCAACAAATTAAGAATTTTATTCAGTGACGTGTCAATGTTTTCGATGACGATCTTGAGAAAATTATGAATGTCATCAATTTACATTAGCAATAAGTGATCAAGTAGATATTGATGACACTATCTCTATATATATATATATATATATAATTTGTACAAAGTAATGTAAGTTTCAAGATATGCAAGTGTACATTATTATATGATTATAAATAATAATATGGATATATGAAAAAAGTTTTTAATATAAAATTACAACTATAAGAGAAAAGCCAATAAGCATATTTGCTTGGCATTTTTATACTTTTTTATGCTTTTGGTGTTAAAGTTACTATTAATAATTATGTATTTATGACCATGTTTTATTTCGTACTTCTTCAGCATATATTTCAAGCATATATTTATTAAAATTTTATTTTATTAATTACGTATTACACTCATTACACTCTTATTTTACTTACTGTTATGCATATTTTTCTTGTTTTCTCCATATAAAAACATGATATACATATCTAAATTAGAATGCATGCTATTATGAATAGAAATAATTTTTTAAATAATATTAACGATTACAATGTGATTTATAATCATTAATATTATAATTGGTAATATGTATCATTATTTATATTATTAATATAAAGCATAAACGAATAATTTTTTACATAATCACAATAGCAGAAAAGAGCTTCTATTACTCCTTTAGTTGGAGAAAATCAAAAAGATTTTTTTTTAAAATTAAGATAGAAATATGCTGAAGAAGTAAAAGCTATTCTTTCTTTATTTCATTTAATTCAAACTGTATTTACATTATAATAAATATTTTTAATATTATGACCTTTTTTTACATATTCATGAAAGAAAACAAATTTTATCAAAATTCTTTTATAAATTCTTATATTAAACGACCCAAAGAATTTGGAATTTATATTAAATTAAAATTTATTTGTTTTTCAGTTAATCTCGACGTGATAAGAATATGTTCAAATCATGTCTATTTAAATAATGTATTTTATTCTTTTTGATAGCTATCCTCATTGTTAATAATTAGGCACATTTTCCCAATAGTGCCTCGCTTGTTTATTTAAAAGCCTAAAATAAACCTAAAATAACCTAAGTTACGATTTAAGTGTGTTTCGAAGTGAAATTTGCTTTTACTAATTTATTTTATTTTTTCATGTAACTTCTATATTAGATACATGAAAAAATTTAATAATAAATTCTCATCTCTTCACACATGCACACAGACACATAACATACACATTTAAAAAAATATTAACTTTTTTACTAAATTATATATAAGTTATAAAATAATATATTATTGAACTATAAATTATATGTATGTTATTTTTGTATTTTCTCACTGTCCTGAATTTTTGCATGTTTAATTATCACATGGATTTTTGCATTACTTTCATTAAAATTAATTATTTACTTTGAAAATAACATACTAATAACACTTTAAATCAATAGTATAAATACATTTATACTATTAATTTAAAGTGAAATTTAATATTCTTGATATTTTCATTTTATTGTCTTTCTTATTTGTATTAATATTATTTTTTTTTAATATGCATATATGATATTAATTATTATTTGATTTTTGTTGATATTACTTACATATTTGCGATACTGAGGTTTGCTGATTAGATATTTTCACAGCTCAATCCGCATATTGACGGCACTAATTAATCGATATCTGATTAATTACTGGCAAAATGAGCCAATCACTGAGGCTGCGATCTGACGCTTGAAGCAAATTTCTTTTCGAGCCACGCGTCGTTCACGCATGCAAGCATGCAATTGTGCGTAAATGTTTACGTCGTTATAATGAAATACAAATAATTATTTCCGGTTGTTATCCAATTAACTGATTTGAAATATAGCATTAATTTCTTAGGCTATTTTATATTAATTATATAAATCTTCATCGTGCAACTATTGTTGTTTTAAAAAAAGTTATTTCTAATATTGACTGTGTTGATCAAGTTTGTTTCATCATACTTGATCCTATATTAACGTATAAAAATATTTAGTTTCTAATTGTTTTATTTAGAATAAGGTCTGTTTATATAGAATAGTTGTATATATTTTATGTATATTTAGTTCATATGTTTATCGTAATGGTATTGTATTTTTCAGGCATTTACTTGATTTTTTTAATAATAGCAATGAAAATTTCATAATTTATGGTCCAAGTTGTTTGTTAAAATGTTTCCGATAGATCTATTGCGTGGTGATCTCTCTCTGTCATATATCTATAGTATGCACAAAGATTATATACAGGTATATGGGACCTATACCTGTGTATATCTATACAGTGCCGTTTCCGAAAATTTTTGGTAGAGAGAATAATATTTAATATTAATTTATTAAAAAAATAATTGATAATTTAATATAGTACGATTATTAATAATAAAGTAAGTGTCTTAAAGATACGATCAAGTACGGACTGTTACGATGAACACCGTATACAGGATATTTCTAACAAGATAACATCCTATAATTTATGAACGTTATGGGATTTCGCACATACTACTGAAAGTAAAAAGGTACCTAATAAACATGATTTATTTATTCCTCATTTTTTAAATAATCGCATTCCAAGATACTGTGTTACTTTATATCGAATCCTCTTAGAAATATCCCGTATGAGATAACGCAGGGATATATGTAGAGATGGAATCATCTCGCGGAGGACGTGCGTTCACAGCTTGCGTATTTATACAAACACGATATACTTTCAAACCCCATTTTATTTGCTGTATTAGGGAGAAGAATGATATCAATGCGTAATAATATCGATGTGTATAATAATATATAACGGTAACACGGTAAAACACAGTAATTGATATATAGAACTCTTGCCATTTGTACTACGTAATGTCACACCCGGAACAGACTACCTCAGAGTTCAGGAATTTAACGAAGAATGAATGAAGAAAAGAGAAAAGATGAAAAAGCCAATGCAATAATAATAATAGTAATAATATAATTAATAATAATTAATAATAATAATAATAATAATAATAATAATAATAACTGTAAAAATAGTGAAATATCCGTGCGGGTGAAACAGTGTATTTCCACACATGTTTGCGTTTCATGTATTGATAAATGTTTAAACATTTTTGTACATTGATGCTCATTACTTCATCTAGATATGAAGTTTAGAAAAAATTCATTGTTTAAAAGAAATTTATCTTTTTATTTTCTTCAAACTTAAAAAATTAATTTAAAATAATGGTATATATTTAGAATTTAAAAATGTACGAACGATGCAAAATGCAAAAGACGAGAGAGAGAGAGAGAGAGAGAGAGAGAGAGAGAGAGAGAGAGAGAGAGAGAGAGAGAA